TGGTCTTAAATAGCAATGATAAAAAAAAGGAAAAAAAAAAGGGGAGGATTTAAGTGTAGGTCATAATAGGTTGACTTATTATCTAATAGGTCCTATGATAATTAGTGACGTTTTTCATCAAATACTATGAAAAAAATGTTAGTAATTGTTTATTTTCAATAACAATTTGAAAATTTTGTCCCCAAAAATGTCACTAATTATAAATTTTAGCAACAGTTTAAAAAAAATCGTTACAAAAAAAATCACTAATTTTTCAACTTTCAACAACAGTTTAAAAAATTTGTCACAGAAAAATATCACTAATTGTAAGTTTTAACAACAATTTATAAAAATTGTGACAAAAAAAGTCACTAATTATCAAATTTTAATAACATGCAAAAAATCGTCACAAAAAATTATTTTTAGTGATAATTTTATTAGGACTTATTTTTAATAGGATTTGATGAAAATTAAGTCTAACTATCAAAACTTATTGGTAGTTTATCCAAAAAATAAAAGGTGATTCTATTTACACATCATAAATCCTCTTAGTACACATCAGTTGCTTTGTACACACACCACACATAATTTTGATTTTTTTTTTTAAAATTTTTGTTCAATACACACTATCAATTTTTAAATATACCTAAAATATCCCCATCTTCTTTAACCCATCTCCCAATCCTAACCCTAAACGTAACGCTAACACCTTCCCATCACTGGCATCATCCTTCTAAAGCCATTTTGTCGATGTTGCCCTTCGGAAGCCCTTCTGTCGCCGCCCCTCTCTCATCGACATTGTCCCTTTCTGCATCTTCCACCTTCAGCTCCTCCATAACAGCCATTCACAACCCTCAACCCCGTCACAACTCCCCTCTATTTTGTTTTCACCTGTCACTTCTTCTTTTTCTCTTCAAACCCTAGATCTGGAAACCTAAATGGTGGAGGAGCTAGTTCGTGTTCTGGAGGGAATCTAGAGGATGGGTTAGCGGTAGAGGAAGGTGCAACGTGAGTCGCAGCTATGGCAGAGGCATAGTAAGAATTGAAGAAGAAGAAAAGAGAGAGAGAGTGAGATGATCTAGGCTGAGAGAAGGAGGAGAAGAAGATTGAGGGAAGGAGGAGGTGTGAAATTGGTTGAAAAGTGGCTTATGCTAGCATCGGCGCCGAAATTGGAGATGGAGAGTTAATGGTGGTGACTAAGGCGTTGTTTGGGATGATCTAAATAAGTGTACTTTTTGTCTTTTTATGAAAAGATGTACAGAAAAGTAGAGAGATGATGTGATGAAAAAAAGATAAAAAGATAAAAAGATGAATTATTTGGGATTTCCCAAACTTGGCCTAAATGTGATGTATGTCTAAAAAGATAAATTAATTAACGGATAAAATTATAATATAAAAAGAACTTATAGATGGTGGGTATTTAGAAATGGAGTGGTGTGTAAATAGAATTACCCAAACATAAATTTCTAAAACTCCAAAATTATTTTCAATACATACAATCAAACAAATTTTCAAATTCTTTTAAGTTTTTTGTATTGAAATTTTGTAAAATCTTTTCAAAAAATTATTTCATAAATACGAACACAACATGGCGTCCATCTCTTTCTGGCCTCTTTTGGAATGACAAAAAAAAAAACTCAAAAGTAAGCTTTTAACCTATTTTACATCATATCATTTTTCTCTATATTTTTACACATTTAAAAAAAAAAAAAAATCAAAATATCAATTTTTGACCAACTTTTCAAAACAAACCTCCCTCTCAACAATGCAAATCTCTTCTCGCTCACTATTGAAGGGGCCGATTAAAAAAACCTCCCAAAAAAATCCAACCTCTGACTGACACTTATGTCTCTCACAATTTTCGGATTTCTCTGTACAATGTTAACACTCGCAACAATATAAGAGGCGTTACTTTTTGACTCTTGTATTGGAAGGCAGATCATCAACATTTCCCAAGTCCCATCTGAAGCGCTGGATTCTTCAGGTTAGCTTCTTCAAAACGACTACTTCAACACTAATATATGATATATACCCGCATTACATGGATACATAGATATATACACATACATACATATATATATATATATATACACACTAGTGGTTGAAACACGTAATGTGTGTGTAATTAAAATAAGTAAAAATAAAACTAAATTTTTACTATATATGATATGTCACGTAAGTGATTAGAGTCTTATTTATTAATTCAAAAGTTTAAGGTTCAAGTCTTACTTTTGTTAACCATCTAATTTTTTATTTTTATTTTTTTATATTACAAATAGGAAAATGAGGACATGTGATATAAGGAAAAGTCACCAAAGTTCACACACCAAGCGATGTGTTCACTTTTAATAATAGTATATATATATATATTGTTCTGTTTCTATATGATTAATTTAGCACGCACTTACCTGTCTAGGGTTAGTAGGTTCTTCTGATTTCAGATCTCAAAGAAGTGATTGTAGAAAATGTTTGTAGAATATGGATTCACCATAAATGAAAATATTGGGGGGGAAATATCTTAAACTAACATGAGATGTAATAGCAAACAAGATATGAATTTATTTAATATAATTGAACATATATATATATATATATAGCTTTTGACCGAGTTGAAAGACAAACAAAAATTCGTTTAGCGGCCCCATTTGTATAGGGCACGATAGATACATGGTTAATTACATATTAGGAGTGAACATGTAGAGTGTTTTTTTTTTTTTTTTTTTTTTAATTTTTTAAATGTAGAGTGTTTTTTTTTTTTGTCATTTTTTAATTTTTTAAAAAATAACGTAAAATATTAAATAAAATATAGTGCACACTTGATGACTGAGCTGTTAAAAATTGAAAAAATTACAAAAATTTAAAATTAGTGGTTAGATGAAGGTAAGTTATATAAGGGCATTTTTGGAAAGAGAAAAACCGTGACAAAGCTTCAAAATGATTCTGGACTATATACTTTATATAATACTACTAGTATAAAGATTGATATTTAAAACAAAGCAGTGGTAAAACATACATAAATTAGAATTTTATTCCTTTGCATTATACATAAAATTTAATTACTCACTCTGATTGTTATTTATAAGTTTCGATAATGTTATGAGCAAAGTGCTTCTAATGAAATTTCATAAGAGTGAAACCCAATTATCACTCAAAAACATTTTGTCACTTGATCAAAATAAGGTATACACAATCTTTATTCATGTACAAATATTAAAGCCATCTTGTACTAATATACTGTTAAAGATTCACATCTAGATTATATAGATTCCATTGTTTAATACAAATTGAAATGTTTAAAGGTACAATTTGAAACTTACCATAGAAACTAAATTGAAACTTACTTCAAATTACAAGGGTGTAAAGTTTAATTTAACCCATAATTGTATATTGCAACTTATCACTCTTTATTTTTTATTGAGCATCAACAAAGAATTTTATTAAAAAGAAAGAAGGGAAGAGGACAAGAAGTCCTCAACCAAAGAAAAGGAAAACATTCAAAACAAAAAGCACAAAACACCTAACACTAGAGATGGCAAAATGATAAATATTATAATATATGGGCCTATTTGATTGTGTTTTCATTTTATGTTTACTATTTTCTAGAAAGGAACTGAACATCTAGTCACAGATGTTAGAACTGTGTGATTTATGGTTCAATATGAGTTTCAATCAAAATGATTCAAATAGTACTATTGGCCCGTTTGGTAGAGTCGTGGGAAAGTGATTGTAACTTATACCACTACAACAAAAAACATTTTTGGTGACGTTTTTTAGCAACCAAACTGAAATTAGTCGCCAATTTTACATAATCAGCGACAATATAATTGTTTGTCACCAAAAGTACACTATTGGCGACAAGTTAATATTTTTAGTCGCCAAAAGGTTTGGCGCCAACTTAATTTTTTGGGCGGGAGCGCCAAAAATATTTTCGAGACCAAATGAACATATAGCGACGAAATTTTGGTCGCCAATTGTAAAGTTTTGGCGACGGAAATGAAATAGTCGCGGAAAAGATGAACGGTACTTATGGCGACAGAAGAATTTTTGTCGCCAATAAATTAGCAAACGAAACTACGTCGTTTTGCATTTTTTAATTTTTTTTTTTTTTTTAAAGGCTGGACCGACCCTTTTACTGAATAAACACACCCAAGCCTCATCTCATTGTATTCAGAGGAAAACGAGAAGAGAGGGAGAAGATAGAGGATTCAAAAGGGAATGGAAGGGAAGGGTAGGGTTTCAATCTCTCTCTCTCTGTGCACACTTCGACGGTACGGCGAAACTGATTCAGCAACGATGACAATCAACTGTACGCACTCATCTACTCTCTTCTCTTCTCATTCAACATCCAATTAGTAGACTTCAAGAGTCCAAATAGCATACCCAAACGATTGTCAAGCTTGAGCTAGGTAGCGAATGGTGAGAACGGCAGAGGTGTTTGGTGTAGATGAGGCAGGGAGGGGCGTGGCCATGGGTTTGTTAGGCGTGGTCGTAGGGTAAGGGTCGTCGGAGGGGGGGGGGACTCTCTCTTTCTCTCTCCCCCCTTCTTCAGCTTCTTATTTTTTCTATTGACAAATTGTGCTTGTCTCTCTTTCTCCTATAAATTGCAATTTCTATGCCCTAATTGATTTTTTTTCTTGCCAAGTGCCTTTTTAGAATTTTTTTTAGGGGTGTTGTTGTGATGTCTGGTTTCTCTCATTAGAGTTCAAATCCCATTTTTCTTATCTGTCAAATGTTCGATAAAATGCATCAATGATGGCCTACTGTGATTTTGTTTATTAGATCCAATTTTTTTTGACTTTTGGATCTTTGAGAATATAATTTAGGAGAATTTTGAACTCAAATACAATTTAGGAGAATATAATTTAGTTTTCTTGGTGGGTTTGTTTTTGTGTTTATCTACAAATTGAAGTTGTGGAAGTATGTATATATAGTAAATTTAGGATCTTTGATTAATCATTTTTTAGTATTTGTCACTACATGTATTTCAGTTATTGTGTTTTCAGTGAGAGTCTGTAATTGTACATGAATTATTTGAAATACTACAATTATTTGATTTTCAGGAACACTCAGTCGCTGCTTTCACCCGTGTTCTTGATGAGGCCAGTGTTGTTCTTCTCTTCAAAGACAAAGTCTATCTTCATCCTAATAAGGTACGTACACATATATATAAATAATAGTTTTCTTGTTAGAAGAAGATTCTTATAAATTGATTTATGTGGGACTAGTGATTTGTGCTTGTGTTAGAATATAACTAACAATTTTGTTGATGAAATTTGTGTGTGTTTATTAGTCACAAAAGTTTTGTGTATCTCATTATGGCTAATATGTATATTTTGCGTTGCCAAAAATCACATGTTATTTTTGTTTTATTATTTTCTTGTTGGTCTTTGGTTGTGTACACTACATGGGGAATGAGTTTACTCTGTATTGCGGAGATGAAGGTTTAAGTTTTATGTTTCCCTCTGTATGGTTAATGTCTAATTTTAGAGTTAAAAAGAGTCCAAAATACATTCGTTAGTTGCACTATGAGAACTAAGCAACTGTTTCTCTACAGAGAACAGTTCCAAAACCTCTGATTTTGCAGCAAGGGATTGAGGATAAAATATATGGACATAATCACCATCAAAATCAGCACTAAGTGGCCCACATATAAGAGGGTTGATCTTAACTGTATGGTCATCGTGAACATAAACCGACAAAGCTTGCAGGGAATGTTTATGCGTTGTCGGAGGTCTATTGATGAAAACAATATCCCCATCCATTATCCGTCGATGTACCACTTGACCAGGTCTTAAAAAAGTATGCCCCTTCGAACCTTCCCTCAACGAGTAGGTTGACAAACCATCCCTATAGGTTAAACACACTTTTCATCAACCAGCTTTTGCAGATACTGCATGTTATATTAAGTAACTCTCTCCTCAAATGTTATCTGTTGAGCAATTTCAAAAGGCAGTCCAATCTCATTGACTCCTTTATATGCATCACCTGTAATAACACTCCGTGAGGAGAATCCACAACCCTTTCTGATAAATAGGGTTTTCATCTTCTCAAGCCATGCTTTAGTAGTAGAATCACTTTGCTCTTTGTTAATCCCAAATCGTGTATCCATGTCACGAGATGCCTTGTAGAAGAAATATGCACGGAAAGACTAGAAAACAACAGTTGTTCATGAACATTTGCACAATTTAATTGCCAAAGGTTTGACTAGATTATCAATCAGATTCTCAATAAAGAACAAATGTCACCCAAGTAAATAGTAAACCAGCATCAACTACACAAAACACCATCTTCTAAAACGGATCATCATTCTCAGATAATTCAAATAAGCAATGCAATGGACATGATTGATGAGATCTATTAAAATAAGCAATGCAATGTACATAAAATGGATCATCATTCTCAAATAATTCTGTATAATTTTTAATTAGTTTTTCTCTCAAATCCTCAAAGCAATAAAGTGCCCCCACTAAGGGTCAGCCAAACTTCCCTTGAATTAGCAACAGACATGATTGATGAGATCTATTAAATTAATAGAGTGGTGTCACACGAAATGGTAAACAAAACATGGTACATAGATGTAATCATCAGAGCATTATGGCACTAAAAGTAATTTGTATATTCAACATGGGATAACTTCAAATAGTGCTTGTGTTGTAAAAGCTCACGTAGTGTACACAAATACTTGTTTCAATTTTACCCCAATATATTGATTACCTAGGAAGCTTCTGAACTTGATCTTTGATCAGTAAGTTCTATAAATTCTTGAGGCATTCTAAATTTTGTTAGTTTGGAGTCAATAAATTAGAAGTCGAAACTATGTCGTTTTGCATTTTTTTTTTCTAAGACTTGACTGACCCTTTTGGTGAATAAACAAATAATTATCAATATTAAGAGATGAGGGTCCAAAAGAAAAAAGGTCTGAGGCAAATAGCAGCACTCTAAATTGTTTCCTTGGTGTCTAATATTTGTCTATTTCCATCTAATTTGTAGGTATATACAAGTGGGGAATGCAGTTGCATTTCTAGTATCTATGGCATTCGGAAGTATGTTGGCAAAGGGAAGCTAAGGAGTCTCAAATAATGAACCCTTGACAACAACTGATCTGAAATTCCCTCTGAGTCCTGCACAATTGTTTGCGTGAATAGCATTGGATTAATTAACCATTCTTAAAGTGAGTTCAATCTTGGCAAAATTCATTCTTAACAATCTTGTTGAAGAAAATTTTAAACTCACATTGAGTAGTAGACCATTCATAAAAACCATATATGGTCATTGTAGCTTGTAATTCAAATTTCCATTTTCTTCTTGTATTATCTTGAAAAATATCTGGTTAAGTACATTGAAAGATATGTAACCTTATTTTTAGCTTTTTCTTTTTGGGCCTAGACCCATTTCTGTTTGCAGAGTGCTGGTGGACTGGGCACTGGAAGTGATATTGGGCTGATTGCGAGGTTCTACTGTGGGCCCTTTCTTGGTCCATATTTCCTCACACGACCCATTATGCTGTGGGCCCTTTTTAGGTGGATTTCAGTTTGTAGTTAGTGGATTATTAATCATCTTGTGTGGTAAAGATGATGCTTGTGCAAGTTTTCTTTAACATATTCAAGATCTTTATGAGGTTGATGTTGCCACATCAACTCTCTGCTTCATTTGCTGCTATGATGATGGTTTTATTTGCATCTGATTCTGTCTGTTTCTTTTACCAGTATGTGAATGTTTTAGTTGCAGCTGCGAATCCATGTAATTTCTGTATTTCTTGTCTTTTTTTATTGAAACAGGAATTATCATTAGTTTGCTCATGTTTTCTATTGAATGATTTTCATTTACACCAGCATGCTATTTACTAGTTTCATGCCTATTTACATGATCAGGACAAATGGCAGAACATGGGTATTAGTACTGGAAGTGTTTCATTTATCTGAATAGTCCATGGGAAAACATTATTAAAAAAATTGTGGAGTACTTCATTCGTTGATTATGTTTCTCATGCATAGATTGTTAAATTATCCCAGGATGACAAATGCTGTCGTTTAGTCTCTAGGCTGCTGATCTGTTTGGTTTAGTCTCTAGGCTGCTGATCTGTTTGGTTTAGTCTCTAGGCTGCTGATCTGTTTGGTTTAGTCTCTAGGCTGCTGATCTGTTTGGTTTAGTCTCTAGGCTGCTGATCTGTTTGGTTTAGTCTCTAGGCTGCTGATCTGTTTGGTTTAGTCTCTAGGCTGCTGATCTGTTTGGTTTAGTCTCTAGGCTGCTGATCTGTTTGGTTTAGTCTCTAGGCTGCTGATCTGTTTGGTTTAGTCTCTAGGCTGCTGATCTGTTTGGTTTAGTCTCTAGGCTGCTGATCTGTTTGGTTTAGTCTCTAGGCTGCTGATCTGTTTGGTTTAGTCTCTAGGCTGCTGATCTGTTTGGTTTAGTCTCTAGGCTGCTGATCTGTTTGGTTTAGTCTCTAGGCTGCTGATCTGTTTGGTTTAGTCTCTAGGCTGCTGATCTGTTTGGTTTAGTCTCTAGGCTGCTGATCTGTTTGGTTTAGTCTCTAGGCTGCTGATCTGTTTGGTTTAGTCTCTAGGCTGCTGATCTGTTTGGTTTAGTCTCTAGGCTGCTGATCTGTTTGGTTTAGTCTCTAGGCTGCTGATCTGTTTGGTTTAGTCTCTAGGCTGCTGATCTGTTTGGTTTAGTCTCTAGGCTGCTGATCTGTTTGGTTTAGTCTCTAGGCTGCTGATCTGTTTGGTTTAGTCTCTAGGCTGCTGATCTGTTTGGTGGCTGAAAAGTTATGTTTTGTTGATCTGTTTGGTTTAGTCTCAAGGCTTATGGTCCTGTCTGTTGGAGGATTTTTGTGGCCTTATTAGTCTCAAGGCTTAATGTTGTTTGGTCTCTCTTAGATAGTTGGCTGATTGCTGAATGTTGCTGATGTTTAGTCTAACTAACCCCATAAAAAGAAAGAACTATATATCAATGAAAACAAAAAATGGGCAGCAACATGTCCAGACTAAAAGAAAACCTGTGGAGAAACCAAAAAAACCAAGATATAAAAAGAACATCAACAAACCTATAAGCAAGCCTCCAAGATAACACCCTAACAATACCCAAAATACCATGCAAAACCTTAACAGATAGGGCGGCATGTTGTGAACAAGATGATATGTTCCTGGGCCCTGTAAAAGAATATGTGGACCATGAACATATAATCAGCAAAACAGACCATATGGATTAAAATCCCTTGCACACCCCGCAAGGGTAGGTTCAAAAAGGAACTAGAGAAATGTCCAAAAGAACCCAACAGATGTATACAGTTCAAAGAACAACAAATTTCTTCACTCCTTAGGTGCTTACAGAAGCCACCAACACTGTCCCTTTCTTCCAAGGAAGAATGCCTTCAACAAAGAGAAGACTTTGTCCTACATGATGTTGCCACACTTTCCAGCAGCCTCTATGTAAATCACCATGCTCCCATGATCTAGTACAGCAGCGGCCATGCAGCCTATCACCATAATTCCAAGATTTAATGAAACCAGCAAAGGGTAAAAAAGCTCCTTCACAGTGCTTCCATACTTTCCTGCAACCACTATGCTTGTGATCATGCTTCCTCAAGTTGGTAGATCTTGTCCATTGCAGATGGTTGTATGAATAACACCTATACTTTGGATAGCTAATCACAGAAACAAACAATTTAATATAGCACCACAAAATATATGAGCTCACTTCTCTCAACCCACAATTTAGAATCTCACAACACTCGAGGTCTTCATCTCCTGGTACCTGCACAAAATGTAAGTAACAGTAGACAAAAATAGATCAACACTCAATATGGCTAGTGAAATTTTGGTAAGAATTTTTATCTTTCTCACAAAACTCTCAACCCACTGATTTTGGTTTCCCTCACTCACAGACTGCATCTCTTGCTTATTCATGTACCTACAAAATGAGCAAACTTGAGAAAAACACTCAATTTGTGCTACCATCACTCAACCCACATATTAGTGAACTCCCATCTCTCATTCCAAATGCTGGAGTTTTCAGAATGGTGTGGGAAGTCTCCAAGAGCTCAAGAACCAGCTGACACTAGGATGCATTTTAAGATTAGTAATAGACATCATATGAAATCTAACCATATCTACAATGCATTTGATAACAAACTCTACAGGAATTTGCTCTTTTCTAAATATTATATTATTTTTGACAATCCACAACTGGTACACAGTACAAGTAAAGGCAAGTCTAGTTATAATTGCACTGATGGATTTACCTCCAGCTGATTCGGAAACTAATTGGATAGTTTCAGGCCAGAGAAGGCTAGGCCATTCAACATTAAGCTCGCCTTTAATACAATCCCAAACTCTACTAGAGAAGGGACAATAAAAAAATAGATGGTTATGGTCCTCACAAGGACCATTACAAAAGACACACTCAGAGGATTGAGTAACACCAAAAAGTTTGAGTCTATCCCCTGTATTTATTATATGTATTTTTATTACATTGCAAAATCAATCAAACAAATTCAAAGCAAAAAGCATATAAAGCATTTCCAGACTAAAATCAATCAAGTTTCTGTCAATGATCTGGTACATAACATGCATCAGGTTAGAAGATGCCTGGGTTAGTAGGCTTACAGCAGCAGCTTCAGTGGTTTGGTACATAAATCTATTGGGATGGTCTGATTCTTATTCTGTTCTGTTCTAGCTATGTGGGTGAGCAGCTGCTGCTTTGTGTCATTGATCCTGATTATTGCCCTGTTTCTGGCCTTGGTGAGCAGCAGCAGCAGTATTGGGTTTGGTTAGAGAGCTCCTGAGAAAAGTATTATTGTTGTATAGTTGCCTATTGTTGTGTGTACAGAGGTGTCACACAAGGGAGGTTAACTGTAGGTTGCTATTTTGTATTGCTGTTGCTGCTAGTGGAACTGGTGCTGCTTTGTTATTTTTTTATGTTTACTTCTTCCTTTGGTTGCTTTGGTTGGTTTCTCACCAATCTTGGGTGCCCGGCTTTATTGTTGTTAGTTTGGCATGTTATTGTTTTTCTTCATCAATATAGCTTCTTTTTCTGTTAATAAAAAAAAAAAAAAGTCCCATAGAGTCCTATGCTCAGTGGAGTTCAATACTAAACTTGGCAAACAACAAAAAGACTTCTTTCTTGCACATAAATTGCAATAACCAATAGCAAACACATATTAAATCATTAACAAAGTATAATTCTTTATCTATAGAAAGCTGATATATCCACAAAATGCATCACAAAGAAACAGAGAATCAAAACAAAAAAATCAATCTAAGGCAATGACATAATGCAAATACTAAAAAGATAACCATGATGATGAAGATGTAGTAAAAAAACAATACCCCACAATTATAATCTCAAGCATCTGATTTGGGTTTTGCTTAGGGTCGTAGGAGATGAATGATTTGTACCTAGCATTTGATTTGGTTACTGCTGCTAGTGGATTGGGTGTTCTTTTTACCTAGCATCTGATTTGGTTGCTGCTAGTGGATTGGGTTGCATTTGATTTGGTTGCTACTGCTGCTTGTTTTTGTCCTAGTGGCTTTTTAATTTGCTGCTTGTTTTGTTGCTGTTGGTGCTGATTGATTTGGTTGCCACTGGAGATCTATATAGTGCCATGTTTCTTGAGGTCAATGCTAGGGTGTGGCACTATGGTGGTTTGCCTCTTAGAGAACAGGCTCATGCTTTACCTTTGCAACTAAGTAACTAGTTATATTGGGAGGCCATAATATTTTTATAGTGTACAAATGACCTTAGTCATACCATGAAAAATCTGTAATTAAATGGACGGAATGCCATACAGCTTCGGTGTACTTTACATGAAGTAAGTGATTAGTACATATCAAGGAACTGAATGACACTATTGGTATATGCAAACCAGTTATGATATGACGGTGACAGTAGTAGAACCAAAGTTCAAAAGTTAATCCAATCATTTGCAGGAATAATGGAAGCAATACAACTTCGCATACTTTTAACAGGTTATGGTGGCATACATATGTAGCCAAGTAAGCCATTAGCCTTTAAAGAGCAATGTCAATAGTATTTTTATCCTTTAGATAAGCATTCTAGCAAATGGTATATGACTTCTGTGCTAAGCATGTATAATCCAAAATATGTGTGGCAAGGTGACTAGTTATGCCTCTACTGACAAACCAACAAAAGTATGTAAAGCATTTATGAGCAGCTAAAGCATACGTGATCAACAAATTATGCACAGCAACATGTTTATGTTAGTAAATACTTCAACTTTTTGTTAGTTGGTTTGCTTTTTTTGGGCCAAGTTTTTTTTTTTTTTTTGAATTTTTGTTTCTTTGTTTGTTGGTCCCTCACTAACTTTTTCGCTTGAGCTAGCATATGATTAGGTGTTCTTCTTAGTGCCAACTTAGTTGGGATTAAGAAGTAATGCTATGATGCTTTTTGCTCTCGCCTCCCTTTATTGATGTATTGGCATGGTTTCTGTATGTTAATTTCATCAATAAAATTCCTTTTTTTCTTGACCAAAAAAAACAAAAAAATAAATAAACATTCATTTTGAAAATTTTTAAAAAAAAAATTCTTAATGGCAATTCTTCTTTGCATTTACTGTGTCACTTTCCTTACATGCTTTTGAAAAGAAAAGAGAGTAGCGATATACGCATTAGGTATAAATACGTTGTTTATTGATATAATTTTATTTTTATTTTTCCTTTTTACTGATATACACTCTATTTTTAAATTGATTATACTTACTATGATGTGTTGATTATTGTTTTACAGTTATTAGGTTTAGAAAGAAGATGGAACCAATAGAAATCAGCTTGGAAGTTTGTGGGTGCAGAAAAGGAATTTGAATGTGTTATTATGTCTTGTACATACCGACATTATGTCTTTAAGTATTTGTTTTTATTTTTCTGAACGTAGTGAGAGATTGTGTTTTGGTACTTTATTAAGACAATGTTATGACAATTTTATTATTTCTTGAAATTTGTGGCGATGAGTTATTTTTCAATGATGATATTGTTTTGTATGTGATGGATGAAAATGTGTTTGTTGCATTTACAGGATTTAGGTTTCCAATATTGGTGTTGGAATGGATTTTTATTATATTTATAAATACTATATGATAGCATTTAAAATTACTATCATAATGAGGTCATTGTAGCATTAAAAAAATGTTATCAAAAAGTTTGTTGGCATGCTTTATTATAACATTCTTAGTTAGTTATGATATGGTAAATTGTAACATTACTAGATTGCTATTAAAATAATTTCATAGCATTAACAAAATGTTATCCTTTGGTATTTTTAGTAACTTTTAACTATTTCATAACATTTAAAAATTGTTATAATATATTTACGATAGCGTTCAACGATAACATTCGATAAATGTTATTAAAAATGATACACTTTTAATAACATGGGCAAACAGAGCATTCCAAGGAATGCTATTGTTTACTTTTGATAGCATTCATCGAATGCTATAAAATGTGGTTTTTGTAGTAGTGGAAAACAGGTGTTTTGGATTATTTTGAGCAGGAAAATTATTAAAATCAAAATGTGTAGTGAATATTTAGTAACAGGTGGTGTTTTTGTCGCTGTTAATATATTTGGCGACAACATATTGTTTTTGTCGCTAAAAGTTAGTGGTTATTCCAGGAACTTTTAGCAACCAAAACTTACTCATCGCTAAAAACGTGATTTTTAGCGACTAAATTAATTTTGTCGTTAAATAGTACTTTCGGTAACGCATTTATTTGTCGCTAAAACTACATAGCCTATCCAAATTTTAACCTTTTAGCAACAAATTGTAATTTTATAGCGACAGAATATATGATTTTTGGCGACTAATTTTGCTTGTCGCTAAATGTCTACATATGGTGACAATTTTTGATTTCGTCGCCAATACTTTTAGTGATAGGGCTTTGGCAACCAATTGTATACTTTGTCGCCGATTCTTTTGGTGACGAAATTTGTACTTTTGGCGACGAAATTTGTGGGTCGCCAAATATGATTTTTGTTGTAGTGTACCTTAACAGCTTATAGCTTATAACTGTGAACATAAGCTGATTTTTGACTTATAAATTAAGTTTCTCTTCCCCACTCAAAGAATAAGTTGATTTTTGACTTACAAAAAGCTATAAGCTGTATTGTTAAGCTGAACCAAACACATCAAAATAGCTTAAATTAAGTTAAAAGTTAAAATAAGCTGGATATAAGCCATACCAAACAGAGCCATTCTTAAGTTGAGTGAATTGTACGATTCAATTGTGACAAATCACAACAGTTCACAACTATTCAATTATTGCATAATGCATGAAACGACATTGTTTTAGAAAAATAAAATTAAAAAAAAAAAGATCAATTATTTATATTGATATAAGTGGTTTTATTTTATATGTATCTACCAATATTCAATTTTGTTATTTTGATATTTATTTCATTTTAAACACTATTTTTAAATTTTTATATAAAATTATATATTATATTAAATAAAGTAAATCTTATGACTCACCATTCAGTACAATTCACAATTGTAGCAAAATGATTCACGATTCGATTGGCAATTTAACAACAATGCATCCAATCAAAAACAAGAAAGCACAATACCCATGCTTAAAATGCCAACATGCCAGCCATTCATTCCTTTAACTAAATGTCTTTGGCATCATATTTTTAAAAGATTTGCACCCACTGTCTCACCATCGAATGCAAAAGCCTCGTTCCAGAACTCCTTCCCTAAACTCATTATTGGAGAAACTAGAAGCTGAGCACTTTCTGCTTCAAGGGCCTCAATCCTAGCACGGAGCTTTTCAATCACTTGATCAAGTTCTTTAACAGCAAGGGTTGTTGACTTAGCTTGGAGATCAAAATAAGCCGCACTATTTTCTACAAATAGTCAATGGTGAACTGAACCTCCAAGCTTGCATTTTGAGCATATAAAAACCAATCCCGCCAGTTGAAAATTTCAGGTTCGTCTAAGTCTTCGAGTCTGGTGTTGCACCTGTGGTGTATCACATCGCACTATAAACACAGGTCGTCACCTTGAGACTCATCTATTCAATTGACCAAGAGATTGGAAAGCTCTATGCTATGATGTGATTTATTGAGATTGAATCCTCTAATCTCTATCTTCTTGTTTCTCTAGCCATCCAAGTTTTTACTCTTTTGTAGCTAAGGTGTGGCGTGAATCCAGGATCATTGGGAAAGCAGGTCATGTGCTGTTCCAGAAACTAAAATGCTAAAAGTGGAGCTGAAAAAATGGAACCTCGAAGTTTTTGGAAACTTAGCAACAAAACTCAAGAAGGCTGAGGAGGAGTTGGTAGTGCTTGATACCTTGGCTGAAAATAGAGCTTTGGTTGAGGCTGAGAAGGCTAGAAGAAGACAAGTGAGGGGTGAAGTTTGGAAAATTAGCAAAATGGTAGAGTGGATGTGGCAACAGAAATCTAGAGTTAACTGGACCCTTAATGGGGATAAGAATACGAAGTTTTTCCATATTATGGCCAGTAGCAGAAGGAGTAGAAACTCAATTAATTCCATCACAGTTGAAGGTGAGATAATTGAGGAGCCAGCTAAGTTAAGGTTTGAGGTGTTATAACACTTCAAGAGGTTATATACAGAAAGTTGGGCCAGTAGACCAGTTCTAGATGGTGTTTTTAAATCAATTCACGATAGCTCTGCTTATCATGATCTTGAAGCTGCTTTCTCTGAAACTGAAGTAAGGGCAGCAGTTATGGATTGTATTGGTGATAAGGCTCCAGGCCCGGATGGTTTCAACCTTCTTTTTTTCCAAAAATGTTGGAAGGTTGTTCATCAGGAGGTCTTGTTGTTTATGAGAGATTTCCATGCTAACAGCAAACTTCCGTATGGGATTAATAGCTCCTTTATCACTCTTATTCCTAAGCTTGATAATCCTATCGGGTTGTCTGATTTTAGACCCATTAGCTTGGTGGGTAGTTTGTATAAGATTCTTTCTAAGGTTTTGGCTATTAGACTCAAGAAAGTTCTACCCTCTATTATTGGTGAAACACAATCTGCTTTCTTAGGGGGAAGAAGTGTCTTGGATGGAGTGTTAATTGCTAATGAAATTGTGGATGGATGGAAAAAATCAAGAAGGAAAGGTGTGATTATAAAACTTGATTTTGAGAAAGCGTATGATTCTGTAAATTGGGAATTCTTGGTATCTATGCTTCATAATTTTGGCTTTGGTTCTAAGTGGGTTTCATGGATGAAGGAGTGTATCACTACAACAAGGTTGTCGGTTCTAGTGAATGGCTCACCTACAGAGGAATTTTCTCCACAGCGAGGCCTCAGACAGGGTGACTCCCTATCTCCTTTCCTCTTCAATATAGTGGCTGAAGGGTTGAATCTTTTAATGAACAGAGCTTATGAGAAAGGTATTATCAAGGGGGTAAAAGTTGGAGTGAATGAGGTAGTGATTTCACATCTCCAATTTGCGGATGATTCCATAATTTTTTGTGAGGCAGATTTGGAGCAAATTGTGTTCACAAAGTGAATACTAAGATGCTTTGAAATCCTTTCTGGTATGAGGATTAATTTCCATAAGAGTGTGGTATGTGGAGTTGGAGTGGAAGAGGAAATATTGGGGTCTTATGCTGATATCTTGAATTGTAAGGTTAATGGACTGCCACTTAAATTTTTGGGTTTGCCTTTGGGAGCTAATCTAGGGAGGAAATCTACTTGGAGGCCTGTTCTTGATACAATAAAGTCTAGGTTGACGGGGTGGAAGAGAAGGCTTCTCTCTTTTGCAGGTAGATTAACGTTTAGTAAGTCCGTTTTAGTTGACTGGGTGGAAGAGAAGGCTACTTTCCTTTGCAGGTAGATTAACGTTGATTAAGTCCGTTTTATCTAACCTCCCGATTTATTACCTGTCTTTGTTTAGAATGCCTTGTGGTGTGGTTAGAGAGATTGAAAGGCTTGAAGCTGTTTTTCTTTGGGGTGGGAATGATTTGAAGAGGAAGGTTCATTTGGTGAAATGGACTGAAGTTTCTAAAAGTCTGAATCAAGGTGGGTTGGGAATTAGAAGATTAAAGGATGTCAATGCAAGCCTACTTCTTAAATGGTGGTGGAAATTTGGAAGTGAAGTAAATGCTCTTTGGAGAAGAATGTTATGCAACAAGTATATGATTGAGGAGTTTCACTGGCTCCCACCTATAAATTCACCTGCTAGATTTTCGAGAATTTGGGGCGATGTTCTTGCAGTTGCTAGTCTGAATCAACCTCTTGTGGAGTTCTTTGTGGAGAAATATCAGATAAAGGTGGGCAATGGGAGTAGAATCAAGTTTTGGTATGATAAGTGGGTTGGTAGTAGCTGTCTTAAAGATGAATTCCCTAGATTATTTTGCTTGTCAACAGTAAAAGATGGCACCTTGTCTTATTTTTTTGAGAGGAAATCCAGCTATGGGGAGTGGAACTTTTGTTTCCGAAGGCCATTATATGATTGGGAACAAGCAGAGGCTAACAGGTTGGTTGCAGTGCTTTTGGTGACCCCTTCTCTATGTCTGAATGAGGTAGACTGCCCTGTGTGGAATGGATCTGTTGGTGACAAGTTTAAGGTCTCAGATATATATCGGTATAGTGACTCACTCTTGGGCCCGACTCTCCAAATTTGTAATTTTGTGTGGAATAATGACATTCCCCCCAAAGCTCAATTTTTTGGGTGGTTGGCCTAGAGGAATAGAGTGAAAACAGGGGTTTTTCTAAAACATATAGGTGTTCTGAACAGTGAGGCTTCTGTGTTATGTGTTTTTTGCGAAGTGGAAAATGAATCTACTGTTCATGTTTTATTACATTGTCCTTTTTCATGGCAGGTGTGGTCTGATGTAATGCTTTGGTGGGGGTGTTTGTGGGTGGTGCCAAGGAATATTGATGGATTACTTCATTGGTGGATAGGGTGGAATTATAAGAAGTTAGCTAGAAGATTGTGGAGAGCCTTGCCATGTATTATACTCTGGTCCATTTGGAAGTTTAGGAATGATTGTTTGTTTAATGGAGTGCTACCTTGTGCTTTTGAGTTAGGTGAGCTGATAAAGATTAGGTTTGCTTTATGGGTTAAAGCTTCAGTAAAAAGGTTCATGTACTCTGTCTCGGATATATTCATCAATTTGGCTCAGATTAAGGAATGCATTTGAGGATAATCTGAGGGTTGTTTGTGGGGCTGATGGGTGAAAATCTGCTGGGTCTGTTGGGTGAAATTTCGACCTGTTTTGCTATCTGCTGCTGGTCTGATACTTTGTATCTGCAGGCCTCTATTGTGTCCGTTCTGCTGTGTATCTGCTGTCTATTGTGTTTTGTTTGGCTGTATTAGTTTTTGCTATCTCAGTTGGTTCCTCACCAATAGGGTCAGGGTATGGTGCTGCCTTGTATTTGGCTTGCATCATTCCTCCCTTTTGCTGATGTGTTCTTCCTTCTTGTAAGGTTTTCCATCATCAATAAAGGGTCCTTTGTTGTTGATCAAAACATGATATTATCATGTACTAAACATGGAGGATTTGTCTTTGGTTTATCCATGCACAAAGTTCATACATGCATTAAGTCTCATTTAGTGTTACACTCAAAATTATTTATTGTTCAGTTCAAAAACAAAAAATTGCAATCTATGCCTCGTCTTATGGTACAAGTGGCATATTCTACTGTTTTTAGATAGTTATTTAGAGGGCCACTTAAACTTCTCTTCCAAGAATATTGAATAATTTTGCTGTTGTTACAATTAATTCCCCTCCCCCCTCCCTCCCTTCCTCCCTTTTTTTTGAACAGAAAAATGGGTGCTCCTTGGAGGCATCATTGCTGCAAAAAATTATTGGTTGGTCTAGGGGCACCACGGGGTCATGCCCTAGCCATGCCCTGGCCAATCACAAACCTCCATGTCCCCTCATGTTTCCCAATCACTCAACACAAAATCATGAGCCCTACCCTCTCCACCAATAATACATGTAGTGGTGCCCCAGAACCAACCCATAACTTCTCCATTGCAACCCCTAGCCTCTAGTGTAAAAAAAAGTTATTACAGATTTAAGTTTTTCCCATACTACACTATATTGGTACATACCAAAATAAATAATAATGTTGAAAGATATGAAAAAGTGTAATAAAAAAAATATGAAAAAGAAAATAAAATAGTAGTTAAAGTTGTTTTTTAAATGGAGAGTCTGTAAAACTTTTATAACAAAAAAAATTAATATATCCAAATATTTCAACAATTTATTCTAAGCATTTACCATACACAATAGAAAAATCAACCAAAAACAGTGACACCAAAACATTAACTCCAAGAATGAAACAACCCTCTTGGAAGCAATTGTGAACAATTTGTCGCGCGTCCATAAGCTCATTTCCAGGTATAGTCTATCGAGAAAATTCTATATGTACCCAATATAAGTTCACTCCCGCCAACAAACTAATTCGAACTCTCTTTCATCATTCATTAAAAAAAAACTCTCTCATCATGGTTTTCAACATTCTTGAACGTATCATCTTCCACACCAAATTATTCTCTCAATCTCAATTCCAGAAACAAACAAAGATTAATCCAAAAACCAAAAGTCAGCTTTACATTGAAATCAAAGAAGATTAACCTCAATATGTCAACAAAACTGCCACTTGAGTTTGTGGCCAAGAAACTCAAAATCACTTTTCTCTTTACTACACATCAATCAATCACTTTTTCTCTCTTTTCTCTTCTTTCATATCTTACACATCAATTAATCACTTTTTCACCCATCTATTCAACTAAAAAAAATTATATCATCTAAAACTCCAAAACTATTTTTAAAATATATAATCAAATAAAATATCAAATTTTGTGAACTCTTTTTAGAAAATTATTTTTCAAAATTGTTTCACAAATACAAACCAAACACGGCCAATGACTTTACAAAATGGCCAAAGACTTTACAAAAATCTCATGGACACCTCACTTGGAATCACTCACACTTGAGTACTTAACTCCACTTCTGGTTGCTATGTTACACAGACTCGTTAAAATAAATCAAATACTCGCGTTGGATACCCAACACTCGGACAAGCTTCTTATATAATTATATATAATACTATTATTATATGTACATATTGTTATGTAATTGCAATAAATAACCTTTTGACCCTGTAAGTTACATATATCATCATTTTCTCTCACATGATTAAAAATATAAAATGTGACATTTCTTTTTGCCGAGTCCATATATTCTTAAATTTATGATTTGATGAGTCCGACCTCTAGATATATACCTGCACCTGACATCCATACTCGAGTCCATGTAACATAATCTTGTTGTTGTTGTTGTTGTTGTTATACATTCCAAATGAGGCCACTTCCCTTTACATAACCATCCACTTTCTCAATGGATCGCTAGGATCATTTTCATCAAAGGGCTATTAGTAAGGCTCTATAATATTGTAACGTAATACTCATACTTTCACTATATTCTAGAACTCTTTAAACTATTTTAGTATATAACAGGATTTTCTATACTTCTCTAAAATACTCTAGAACTGTCTGAAACCTTCTAAGTTTTTATAAGCTTCTCCAAGCAACTAGGCTCCAAATATCACTTGATTTTTATATTAAACAAAAATGGCCCATTTTTTCATAAATTGAAGAAAAATATGAAAGTTGCACCAAAAGGCTCAAAGGGATTGGGAAAAAATTGTCAGTATAATTTACCATCCCAGTTGGTCAAACTATTGTGGTTTTTTTTTTTTTTTTTTTTTTTTTTTTTTTTTTTTTTTTTTTACATCAACGGTGCATCAGAAGAAAAAAAAAAGACAACGTACGACAAAAGAGCAAGTAAAAGATGAGAGGACAACAAAAGATTCAGTTAAAAATGAGAAGGAATGAGAGAGAGAGAGAGAGAGAGAGAGAGAGAGAGAGAGAGAGAATCCACAATTTGAGTATATTACTTAAGGAAAAACTTCATTATGTATGTTGCAACATTTTCCCCTTAACACATTATGCAAGATCTTTTAGATGGTCCCACTTGAAGCAATTCCATAGTCGCACTTCAAGTTTCTTAAATTGTGGTCATAAGATGGAAAACATGAGGAAGATACAAACTAAATGAAGAAATAACAACGAAGCTAAAGACTCTCTCATAGCGGGCCTACCAAGCTAAACTCATCAAGAATCCTAACAGCAGAAATTAATCTTAAACAATGTAAGTTAGGGTAATTAGTACTTGGATTTTGAAGAGACAATTAGATGTGATGCCTTGTTAAGAGATTACAGACCGTTGGTTTATATTACAGACCGTTGGTTTATATATTGAAAATTTGAAAGTATAAATATATATATATACACACACACTTAATAGAACTTTGTGATGCATGTTGTACTGTTTGGTTCTTAACACAACATGCAAAAGCTTTATAGATAGTCCAGCTTCATATATTTTCGTATTCAGAATTTTATCATTTGGGGTGGCCTGCAGTGGCCTACAAGCTTTGTCAACCTATGATACATAGACTCGGGTAAATTTTGTCGGGTGCAAGTGTGTATCTAGAGGTTAGACCCATCAAATCTCAAATTTAAAGGTATACAGACTCATCAAAAAGGTGTAATATTTTTTGATTAATTTTTATATTTTTAATCTATTATGAGAGATAAAATGGTATTACATGTAAGTTGTAACATATAGTATCAAAAAGGTATTTTCACTCATTTCATAGTAATTATACAACAAATACATATAATGATAGTAATTATACAACATAATATACATATAACAATAGTGTTAAATATAAATATATATGGAGTGTTTGATGGAAAGTGTCCAATACATATCCTACACACCCTTGTCCAATTGTCGAGTGTCCAACACAGGGTATTTGATTTATTCTGAAGAATCTTTGTAACACAAATGTGAATAGCTCACCCACAAATATTTTTTCTTAGTTGTTGGGTAATCTATAAATGGAAAGGCTAAGACAACAAAGACTTATATAAAGTGGCCTCCGAACTTAAAAATGATAAAGCATTGCCATGTAAAAATTGTGATGCAAATTACTTGATCAGAAGAAAATGGTTATAAAAAATCAATTTTTTTTGACCTATATATACATAAAATCCCTAATATATTCTCACACCCCCACTTAAACTCAAGGTGTTTTAGCAAAAAACACTGAGAGTTTGCCAAGAAAAAACTGAAACCGGACAGTGGTGTGAGTCTTGGTGAAGAAGTCAGCAAGTTGCAGAGCTGAAAAGACGAAAGGAAGTGGAATAAAGCCAGACTGCAGATGCTGACGGACAAAGTGACAATCAATCTCAATATGCTTCGTCTGCTCATGGAAGACAGTGTTATGGGCAATCTGAATAGTACTGCGGTTGTCGCAATAAAGAAAGGTCGGAGAAGACTGAGGGACACCCAAATCAAATAGAAGACAACGAAACCAAACAATCTCAGCAGTAGCATGAGCCAGAGCATGGTACTCAGCTTCGGCAGTAGAGCGAGCAACAACAGTTTATTTCTTGCTTTTCCAAGAGATCAAGGAATCGCCAAGAAACATACAGAAACCAAACAAGGACTTGCGATCAATAACATCACTAGCCTAATTAGAATCAACATAGGCCACCAAATCTATAGAAGAAGCGGAGGACAATAGTAAACCCGAAAATACAGTACCTCAAAGATAGCGAAGAATCCGAACCAATGCTGCCTAATGTATGGAACGAGGAGCAGAAACAAACTGGCTAACCAAATGAACAGCATAGGCAAGATCAGGACAAGTAGCTGTCAGATAAACTAAACAACCCACAAGCTCGCGATAGAAAGTAAGATCATCCAGAGGGACACCATCAGTAGAGTTGAGCTTCATATTAAGCTCAATAGGGGTATCAAAAACCTTAGGCCTCGTTTGGGAACCCTCATTTTTAGCCAAAAAGTCAAAAAGTTACTAAATTAGCCAAAAAACTAACAACCCATACCAAAAAGTCAAAGATTTTCTTTTCTCTCTACTTTTTGCACATCTTTTCGTGAAAAGTCAAAAAGTCATCCCAAACATACTAGTTTTTTTTAACTCATATTTTAGCCAAATAGCCAAAAAGTTACTAAATTAGCCTGTTTCCAAACGAGGCCTTAGTATTAGTAAGGCTGGCACGGTGAATAACCTCATTAGCATACTTGGCCTAAGATAGAAAATAGCCCTTTGGAGAAGAGGCAACCTTAATACCAATAAAATACAGCAATGGACCCAGATCTTTCATTTCGAAGGTGCGAAAGAGATATTGCTTGACCTCAGAGATAGCAGAAAAGTCAGAGCCAATAATGATCATATCATCCACATAGAGTAAGAGAGCAACAAGACCAGCCAACGTATGTTTGAGAAACAAAGCAGAGTCGGAAGCAGAAGAATGAAACCTAAGCTCGGTAACAACAGTTTGAAAACGATCATAATAAGTACGG